GCCCTCGGGGACACGGGGGACACACGAGGTGTCAGCCGGGCTCGTGCCGCCCGCCCGCCATGGCCGAGCCGGCGCCCGCCGCGCTCTCGTCGCTGCCCCGCGAGGTCCGCGAGCAGCTGGCCGAGCTGGAGCTGGAGCTCTCGGAAGGTGCGGGGCGCCGGGCCGCGGGCGGCCGCTGCCGAGGGGGGGGGACGCGGCCCGAGGCTCCGTGCGCGGGAGCGGAGGCCGCGTGGGGCGCGGAGGCTGTGGGAGCGGGGGGGGCAGCGGGTGCTACGTGCGTGGGGTCTGGGGGCCCTTCCTGCCCCCTCCCCGCGCCCCTCGAGGGGGGGGCTCTTCTCGTGTTCCGTTTCCATAGGCTCTTCCCTGAGGATATTGCGGGGGCAGGGGGGAGGCTCTTGGGACAATCGGCGGTTCCGGGGGGGGGGGGAAGTGACGGAAATTGATATTAACGGTGGGGGCCCAGCCCAGGGCCCTGGCGGCCTGCGGGGCCTTCGGCATCGCCCGGCCCGCGCCGAGTCCGGCTGTCGCCGAGAGCAGGACCCGGGAAACTCGTTGGTTCCCCTTCCCTGGGCTCCAGGACATGTCTGCGCCCCGAAACGCGGGCAGAGCTGCGGGCGAGGGGTGAATTTGGGACTGGGAGCACAGGGAGCTCCCTGCGGCGGGCCGGGGCACCCCGGTGCCGTCAGGGCGCTCCGTTTGGTGCCATGGTTCCGRTTAGGACCGTCACCACTGCCCTGCCAGGATGTCCCGCCGCGTGGTCGCGATAATCCCCCCTGAGCATCGAGATTCATGAAGAATCAAGTTGCGGCCCCGTCTTCCTTTGCTTGGTCCCTTCGTCCCGGGCCGTTCAGCGCAGCGAGATCTGTTTGTGCTCGCGAGGATGCGGCGGGGGTGGCTGAGCCCCCCTGCCCCAGTTGCTCCGTGTTTGGCAGCTGTTTTGCACCGCTACAGTAGTGCTCTGCCTGCTTTGGGCTACCTCCTGGTGGAAAAAAAAAGTTGTTCAGAAATGCAAGATGAAATATTTTTGGTGAAGAATTTACTGAATCTTCTAGTGCCGAATAAGCACTTGTTTTGTAGTTTCCAAACTTGCTTTTTATGGTACTAAAAACCCATTATAATCTGACCRTTTACCACATAGTGCTATGAAAAAACCTTTTGCTAGAATGACTGGTTATCACATCCTACTCACGTTTAACCTATTTCTTTAAATCCAATGTTACTGTACAAGTTCAATACACTCTTTTTATAATAAGTGCATTATGTATTTGTTGTGTAAATCACTTTCGCTCTCCAAAAGTCATCGGTACAAAGCATCTGAGGTGCCTCCGTCCTCACACTCCCTGGAAAGGCCTTTCACAAAGTTGCTGAGATAACTGGGCCCTGACCACAGGGCAGGGGGACTGTCCGTGCGGGTTTCTTCAAAAACAAACCTCAGTTTGCGCGATTTAAGGTTAAAGAAGCTAAGGTGTGTGCGTGCCTTGTTCCAGTGAGTATAACTATGGGCTTGTTTACAGTAAATATATTGAATGGTAACCTTTTATTAAAAGAGGCACTTGTGGTTCTTGTTGAGCTAATTAATGCTTCTCAGATAAGAATGTTTGAGTCTTTGTTTTTTTTTCCTCCCCTTGTTGCAGCTTTGTCTCTGGGTTTGATAACCTGCTGTGTGAATATTTCTGTGAGGCTTTCTGAAAAAGAGCAGCATGTTSAAGGGGAGAACTGCAGCGGTTTTGGATGCGAAAGCCTCGCGCGGGAGAGGAGCTGCCCCTGCAGTGAGCTCCTGCAAGTAGGCCAGGGTCCCCAGCGGGAGCGGCAGAGGCGCCGCTCTGTTCTTTGCGTTGCAGTTACGGCGGGCAGCGTCTGAGCTGAACGGAGCCTCAGATGCAGCCGGGCTGCAGGCAGGGGCACAGGTTGGACACAGCCACCCAGCTGGCCTCACCAGCTCGGTGAACTTGTGACAAAACGGGGCGAAATACG